GAGAGGCAGGCAGAGAGAGAGGGGGAAGCAGGCTGCCTGTGGAGCAGAGAGCCCGAGGCAGGGCTCAATCCCAGGATGCTGAGATCATGACCTGAGCCAAAGGCAGAGGCTTAACCCACCTAGCCACCCAGGTGCCCCGGAAATTCTTTTTTTAATTTAATTTTATTTTTTCAGTGTTCCAAGATTCATTGTTTATATACCACACTCAGTGCTCCATACAATATGTGTTCTCCTTAATACCCACAAGGTGTGTAAATTCTTGAACAGTTTTTAAACAAACCTCATTATTTTGGTGCCCACTACCCCCTCCACTTCCAGAGATATGTTTCCACCTTTGAAGATTCTTGTGGGTGGGGTGGAAATGGGGTAATGAATGAGGTTGGTTTTTGGCTTCTCCCACTAAGGGTTTAAGATTCACTGCTAAGTCAATTATTATTCATCCATCTGCTTTTCAGCATTCAAAATTTAGTTGTTGCCTTCTTTCCTGCCCTTCCAATCTTTTAAAATATCATTTTATAGTAGTTTCACTGGGCTTTTGGGAGATGGTGAAGTTACATGTGTAAGTATGTGTTCTATCTTAACTAGACATCATGGTAGGCATAGGTGTCTGCCTACCTGCCTCATTTATCTTATCACCTTTGTTATCAAGCCACTCTGCATAAAACACTCCAGACTCTTCTTGTCTCATCAAGCTCTCTGATCCATCCTCTGCCCTTTCTCTCTGATCCGTTCTGCCCTTTCAGCTGTCACCTCCTGCAGCACCTAACTCAAACCAGTTTCCTATCTATAAACCCTAAGGCTGTGCTTGAATGCTTTGCCAATATGTGTACATTTCATGACCTGTCTACTCTCCCTGACTCCTAGCATTTCCACACACTTTTCCAAGTCTGACTCTCATTGCTTTTCTCCTTCCATCTAAGTAGAATGCTGATTTCTGTCAAACACACAGACTAGGCTTCTTCCCTCCTATTTGCTCAAATGATGTTGGTGACAAAAATTAACCACTACTGAGTATTTATGTGCTGCTCACTGTAGTACACATTTTATGCACACAACCTCATTTCTTTTTTTTTTTCACACAACCTCATTTCATTCTTCATCACAGCTTTAGCAGGTAGATGACATTTATAAGAAGAAACATAGGCTCAAGGAAGGAAAGTGACTTCCCCAAATTTACCAGGCTAGTCAGAGGCAAAGATGGAATTCAAGCCCAGTTTGATCCAAGTCCATGCTCTTTATATGACAGTACACTGACCCAGTCAAGGCATCAGAGAGGGATCTAGAAAGTAGAAGGTGAGAGGATACTAAGTACCTGAATTGGAGGGAGTAGCCATCATCAATGGGACAAAGGATAGGCCATAGAGAAAGGTGGGGATAGCAAAGAAAAACCTTCACTGACTTCACAGGTTCATATAGGATTGACCCTGTGATTTACTTAGGCACAGGATAAATTACCATGCTTATCTACCCATAAAAATGTAGGTTAGAACACCACTATGAAACTATATGAGACACACCAACAGGGCTTAAGATGATTTTTACAATTGTAAAAATGCCTGATGATTTTTTCCAGAAAGGAAGCTTGGATTCCATTAATCAAGCTAAGACTTTATAATCTGAGTGGTCCAAAAGTGCTCTGAGCAAGATGAAGGACAAAAGCCAGGCCCACTGCTTAAAGCTAAGGAGTAGGATAAACTACCCACAAAACCACCAACCCCTGAATGTAGATCTGACAATAAAGTACAACCATATCCACCAGGGTCTTTGGCTCTGGTGAGCTGTAGGCCTAAGGAGGCAAGGACACAGACATGGCCTGACTTCACAAGTAAGCCACCAGCTGGCTGTGTGAGTGGATCTCCAATATGCCCAAGAGCTTCCTGGGGTAGTGATATGAATATATCCTACAAAATGGTTTTGATCCTAACAGCTGACATATTTTGCAAGAGTGTGGAAGGAAGGAAAAGTGCTGAATGGATTGATTTCTCTCTATCAACAAGTTTCTACCTTTGGAAGAAGTAAAATTAGAAAATGTGAAGAACACTTCGTTTTTTAAAAAGTCGGGGGAGTTGGTGGGTATTTATAAACTATTTGCAAAACATCTAGATATTATCATGGTTCTCTTAAGGTTTTATTGGAAGGAACTTAGTAGTGCAGATGATGATTAATGAATGGTCAGCTAGAATGTAAGTATTGCTGGAATATGGACAAGAGGGAAGGAATTAATATTTATTTTGGAATATGTTGTATTAATTAAAAGCACTGTCTCTGTGGCCAGATTTTCAAAATTCTAATCCAAACTCTGACACTTATCTAGCTATATGACCTTGGCTAAACCACTTAATTTCTCATTGCCTCTATTTCTTCATTTATAAAATAGGGGCAGGTTTTCTGTAGGGATTAAAAGCAGTTATAACAGTGTCTGGCACATGGAAAGCCCCATGAAAGAGTTAGCTATTATTATTGGTTATCACTATGTGCTGCAAACATCTTATTTGATAATCACAAATTTGCTAGAAAAACCTGTGGGGTAGGTATTTTCCTTACCCTACTCATGAGAAAATTTAAGCTATGAGGTCAAACAAAATTACAGAGTGACAGAGCCTTTAGATGTTGCCCTGTCCAAGGCCTCCATTTTAAAATGAAGAAGAGAAAACTGAAGAACAAACTGTAGCTCAAAATAGGGCCTAGAGCTCAGCAACAAGGCTCTTCCCTTCAGTGGTTCTCAAACTTTGGAAGGCAACATAATCCCCAGAGGGCATGCTAAAAACACAAACTGCTGGCTTCAAATACTTTAGTTTCTGATTAAGTATGTCTGGCTTGGGGCCTGAGAATTTTCATTTCTAACAAGTGCTCAAATGCTGCTGCTGCTGCTGCTGGACTACTTTGGGAACCACCACAACACATCACAGTTCATATATATTTTTTCCTTTTCATCATAGACTACACAGGTTGTGAGGTTGTGATTCACAAGCATTTGGACAAAAGTAGGCATCACTGATGAACACTAAAGAAAAAGACATTGCTAGCAGCAAGAAAATAGGGAGACCAGTAGTCCTGGTTTATGTGGGACTTTCCCAGTTTTAACACTAAGTTCTGCAGCCCAGAAAAGCCCTCAGTCCTGAACACACTTGAATGGACAAAAGGACATCCTTACAGAGAACATGGTAATATCTGGTAAATTTGTTTGAAAAGGATTCATTATTTTATTCTTATTCCAACAAATGTGTAATTACATGACTATGTTAGGTGCTGTGCTCCTGACCCTACTGATCCTATCCCACCTTAGCAAAAGGTAAAAGTAACTCTACAACACTGAGTTTGGTAGACCTAGACCCATGCTTACATATTCAGGGACACCAGAAAGAGATGTAAAAAAAAATTTTACAAAGAAAGTTTTCAATGCTCCATGATCTCAAATTATTCCCTTCCTTCTTTATTCCTATGAAGGGAGTACATTATAGAAAAGTATGGATTGAAAATTTAGGAAACTGAAGGTGAAATAATTAATGAATCAAGGTCCCAGGGGAAACAAAAGGTAATGGTGAGGAAGAAGATTGATCTGTATCCTTATCCCTCTAGGAAACTGGATATGTCCTTTCCTTGAAATAAATCAATGCTGACCACAGTTAAAATATAATTTTCAAGGCTAAATTAGGAAAATTTCAAGAAGGGCAAATATCCAGAGGAAGACTAATAGTGACATATTTTAGGAGTACATAACAATAGGGAGAATAGATTGCATGTTAAAATATTACTTCTGTTCTGACTGCTAATGGGTATATTCTTTAAGACCTAGGCTTAATTATCAATCCTTTGACCACGGACAACAAATTTCATGAAGACTCCTAAAGATTCCTATATAGTACAAACAAAATGCAGAAATATTTTGAGTCAATAAGATGATGCATAAACTACTAAATGTGTACTAGGGACTCTTTGTGAATATCAGATTAGACTTTATTCTCTGTCAGAGTACTGACTTTGCTTTATGACTTCCAGCCTCACTAATGATGCTTTTTCCCCTCTTCTGCACATCCTGGCCTAGATTGGCTTTCATCATTCTATAGTGCTCAATGCAGTTATTGTACAGCTTCACTTTAAATGAAAGCTAGGGGACAATACACCTCATACACATCTCTCTGTCCCTGCATCCATATATGAAGGGAGCCATTAAAAATAAAAGAAATAAGGTATTATACTTAACCCAGTCAAATCTTAGCAATTAACATGTATAATATATTTTTTAAAGATTTTATTTATTCATCTGACATAAAGATAGAGAGTACAAGTAGGCAGAGCGGCAGGCAGGAGGAGAGGGAGAAGCAGGCTCCCTGCTGAACAGGGAGCCTGATGCGGGGCTTGATCCTAGGACCCTAGGATCATGACCTGAACTGAAGGCAGAGTCTTTAACCCACTGAGCCACCAAGGCGCCCCTAAAATGTATAATATTTTAAGATAAGAAAAAAAAAAGATTAGCAGAAATGGAGGAAATAGACTGCATCTTAAATTTTATCAAAAGCAAAAATGCAAGGTTGCATATTAATTTCCAGTTCTTTGGAGGCACATCATTTGTCATGATGAGTTCACTGAACAGTCTTATAGACTAACCCTCTACTGTCTTGTGGTGTATGTGTGTATATATGCATTATCATATGGAACCTCAGAAGTCTCTAAAAATTTTCTGCAATGATCCTTCATATAATTATTGAACTGATGGACTTATTCCACAGGAGCTATTGTGGCTTCCTAGTTTAACTCTTCAAGAGATGTCTTGGATGGAGATAATCCTTCTTGTAAGATAAAACACTGTTTATATTCAGTTACTATCTTATCACTAAGCTTGTGCTATCAAGCAATTTCTATCGTATCTGTAGTTCTAGGACACTGTAGATATAAATCTAGGATTTCAGCTAAACTCTTTAATCCATAATCTATGTACAAGACTGTCCTAAGTTACCCTCCAGCCCAATGGTTCTTAAAGCGTGGTCTGAAAACACCTGGAGGGATCCTTGAGCCCTTTTCAGTGGGCCTGTGGGTTAAAAATATTTTTTATAATAACACTAAGATGATATTTTTTCCTTTTTCACTCTTATTATCTTACAAATGTACAGAGGGTTTTTCCAAAGGCTATATGGCATGTGATGATGCCATCTCTCTGATACGGAGGGATGTGCGAATTTTAAACATTTTTCAGTCTTAATATTTATTACAGTTAGTATCAATAGATATAACCCAAATCCAAGAACACTTTGGGGTCCTCAATGACTTTTAAGTGTGTTAAGGTGTTCTAAGCATCTTGCAAACTGCTACTTTATAAAGACTTTTGTTCCTAATATGCATTTCCTTCTAACTAGTTCTAGTTGCAACTTCTGTTTTGTGTGATGAGATAAGGTGACAATTTGAGGTAGATTTTGACACAGTATTATTTTGCTGATATGAAATTCTGGTAGCCAGGGTACCAGGTGTGTTCATAATCTTAATGCTGTCAATTTTAAGCCTGAAGCCCCAAGAGACGAGCAGTGTTTAATACATCATCCCTTGTTAAATAGCACCCACAAAGTTGGCGGTAGCCAGTGAAGGATTCCCTGCCATGTAGGACACGCCAGTTGTCTATAAATAGGACCTGTGAATGGGCAAAAAGAGAGAAAAAAACACCATCAGAACAAAAGCAGACCAAAGGAACTCTAAATCAGAAAAGATCACTTAAAAGAAAACCTTTAGGTTGTTCTCTAGTTACATTCAATGAGGTATCTTTCTTTTTGAGATCAAACATTTGGAAATTAGGATGTACACAGCCCTGTAGTAGGCTGCATGAAGTTACAAAGGCAATAGCAGGTAATTAGGCCCTGCACTTGAGGAGCTTATGTTTCTTGAGTAATTATTCTCTTATCAAAGCAAATCAGATAACTGGCTTCATTTTCTTTTCTGCTTAATTTTTAATATATACTTTCTCAAAGAGTTAAATTATTTCATTATGTTTTATGCTAAGCTGAAGATATTCTTCATTCAGAGGCTATAACAAGAGCAAAAAATAAGTTCAACCCCCTCATTATACATATAGAGCCACTGAGTCACTGATGCCTACATATGTTGTGGGACCTGCTTCCACATAATTCAGTGGATGGCAGGACCAGATCCAATACCCAGGACTCTTTTCACTTTTACCTTTGCAAGACTGGGATTCACATATTAAAGAATTACCCATTATTCACTGCTTCAGTATAACAAGCTTACTTGACATCTTTAGCACTGGGCACCCACCCGGCCAGGCTTTAGTTTGACCCAAAACTCATTCTCAGGTCTCCTCAACTCTACTGTCAGAGTCCGGTGTGCTGCATACCAACGATGGACAACATCATAAGGTACAGTATTGATGACAGCTCTGTCATAGTTGTTGTATCTAAGATGAAATCATGAGAAGAAAAGATATCCTCAAACACATGTTAAAGACACCTGTTGCTTATTGAGCAATTTTATATAAGGCTTTGTCTATATTCATTACTTGTCCTAGAGATAAGGTGAGAATAAGTTAATGTTCTCTTGAGAATTATAGGATTGCAGAAAGGAGCACTATTGCCTGTTGACCATATATATTTTTTTTCCTTTGGAGAATCTAGAGGTAGGAGATAGAAGTAAGTTCCAGCTGGTTTCTTCCATTTTAGGATATGATGTTTTATCTAAAGTACATTCTCTTTGCCATATTTTACAAAAGCAATGGGGAAAGATCTGAGCTTTCTTTCTATTCACTAAGCTGAGGTGGGCAAGAGAGGTTATACTAACAAGGTTTTCTTTTTAGCAGAATGATTTAAAACTTCTCAGGTGTTTCCCTTTGTGGGGAAAATCCAAGCTATAGCCATACCTGACAGTTTACCCAGTGATCATCACTCATTCATTCAAATCTTACATTTACATGAGCAGCTGCTATGTGCTAGATGGTGTCAGGTGTTAAAGATACAGTGATGAACATAGCAGACACGATCCCGGCCTTTCGGGAGTTTATGTTCTATTAAGAAAGACAAATGATGAACAAGTAATAAATACATATCTAGTTACAGATGTTATAAAAAAATACTGTAGTGTGATAAAAAGTAACTGGGTAGTCTATTTCAGATGGAGTATGTTGAGTGAGGACTCTTTTGAAGAAGTGACATTTGAGCTGCTACCTATATGATGAGAAACCAAGAATGTGACAAGTTAAGAGGAATATTCCAGGAAAAGGGAACAGTAAGTACAAAGCATTAGGATGGAAAGGAGTTTTATTATGTTTGTAGAACAGCAAGAAGACCATGTGGCTGGAGCTGAGTAAACAAGGGGAATAACGATAAGGAATAATGTGGAGGAAGTAGCCATGGGCCAGATCATGTATAGCCTTATAGGCCATAGTAAGGATTCTGTGTTTTATGCTGAGTACTATGGGAAATCATTGAAAAGTCTTCGCTAAAGGCTTTCTTTTTTACTTAAAGGATTTCTTTTTTACTTAAGGTAAATTAAACTTTTATTAAAGTTTAGTACATATACAGAAAAGTACACAAATCATAAGCTTGATGTATTTTCATGATGTAAACACATCCATATCATTAGCATCCAGGCCCATAAATAGATCATTACCCATACCCTAGAACACTCCCTTGTCCCCTTTTCCATTTTGTCTTTCCCCTAACCCAAGGATAACTACCATCATGACTTCTGTCACCAAAGATTAGTTTTGCTTGTTTATAAACATTTTACAAGTATTATACCACAGTATATACTCGTTTGTGTTTGGATTCTTTTATTTAATATTATATTTAGGAGATTTATCATTGTTGTGTTATATAGATAGATTTATTCATCCATTCTACTTTTGATAGATATTTGAGTAGTTTCCAGTTTAGGACTATTACAAATAATGCTGGTGATTCTGGTCCATGATGGCAACATAGGAATCTCCCAAACTCACCTCTCCCCATGCATATACCAAATCTACAGCTACACGTGGGACAATTCCCTCTGAAAGAAATCCAGAAACTAGTGGAGTGACTCCTACACATTGGATAGATAAGAAAAAAACCCCATATCAAATGGGTAGAAAATGTTGAAACATAATCTTATCATATACCCACCCCTGGTGCACCAATCAAAAGGAAGTTCACAACTCCAAGCTTCTCCCTGAGGAGTGAAGAGTTTGGATTCAACACTCAGTGCCCAAACTTTTAAGATGTCTGTATGAGGGGCACCTGGGTGGCTCAGTCATTAAGCCTCTGCCTTCAGCTTGGGTCATAGTCCCAGGGTCCTGGGATCAAGCCCTGCATTGGGCTCCCTGCTTGGCGGGAAGCCTGCTTCTCCCTCTCCCATTACCCCTGCTTGTGTTCCTTCTCTCACTGTGTATCTCTCTGTCAAGCAAATAAATAAAATATTAAAAAAAGATCTGCATGAGGGATGGGCCCCCCAAATACCTAGCTTTAGAAGACAATGAGGCTTTCATCCATGAGACCTACCTGGTTATAGAACACAAAGAAAACAGTTCTTAATGGGCTTATGAAGACTCACTGTGGAAAACTCCTCAGGCCTAGTATAGAGACAGCAGACAGAAACACCCATATCTTAGTCTTTCTCTATAAAAGCCTATTTGCATACTTTAAAAGCTGCTTCCTGAAGGTCAGGCTTGTATTTTGGCACACATCTAGGGATAGACTGCACTCCTCCCTGGAGATGAAGAAAGCCAGTGGGCACCATTCCCACATTTCCCTCTGGCTTTTGTGGCTGCTGTCCAGGGGATACACCCCTTGATCACCTGGCTTCAGCAGCCAGTGGGGCTTTAGTGACGATTCTATAGGACAGTAACAAGCAAAGAAATGTTTCTTAATTGGCTATCTACCGAAGGCTCATCACAAAGGGAGCATACAGAAATGCCCAGCTCCCAGTCTTTTCTGGAAAGAAGTCTGCTTGCATACTTTAAAAGCTGTTAACCAAGGGTCTCGCTTCCAATCACCTTGCATCTAGGTGCTGACTAAGATCCTCCCCCTTGAGAGACTGACAGGTCTTGACACACCTTCAACTACCGAGAGCCACTAAAACCACAGAAAGTGCTTAGAAAATCACAAAGGTTTGCAAGACAGCCAAGAGCTAAGGCTGAGCTGAATGATAAGGTTCATCTCCTACACAAGACCCACTATATCAAGACTGGGAGAGGTGGCTGTTGTATCTACTATGCAGAAACCACACAGAGAGAAAGAAAAATGAAGAAACAGAGGAAACCAATGCCTGACAAAGTGAGACTTTCAACAATGATATAGAAAATATTAAAAAGTACCAAGCAGGAATCAGAGCTGAAAAAGACAATAACTGAGTTGAAAAAGTCAATAGAGCAGACCACATAAAGTGGAAGAAAACATCGGCAAACTCAAAGACACAAAGCAAGAATTCAATCAGAGAAGCAAAAAGAAAAAAAATGATGAAAAAGAGTGAAGATAGCTTAAGGGAATTATAAGACTCCATCAAGCAGACCAATATTCACATTATAGGGGTTCCAGGAGAAGAGAGAAAGGGGCAGAAAACTTATTTGAAAAAATAACAGAAAACTACCCTAAACTAGAGGAAGAGACAGCTACATCCAGGGAGCCCATGGAATCTCCAAAAGAGGACTCCAAAGAGACCTACCCTGAGACACAATATAATTAAACTCTCAAAAGTTAAAGACAAGGAGATAATCTTAAAAGAAGAGAAAAACAACTTGTTATATACAAGGGAACCCCCATAAGACTACAGCAGATGTTTCAGCAAAAACTTTGCAGGTCAGAAGGGAGTGGTATGATTCAAAGAGATGAAAGAAAAAAAAAACCTTCCAACCCAGAATACCATAAGCAAAGTTGTTATTCAGAATTGAAGAAGAGATAAAGAGTTTTTCAGAAAAGCAAAAGCTAAAGATCACCACTAGACTGGCCTTATAAGAAATGTTAAAGTGACTGCTATAAGCTAAACTAGGCACTTACTAGGAACAACAAAACATGAGAAGTACAAATCTCACTGGTAGTGGTAAATATATAATTAAGTTTATAATATTCTAATGTAATAGTGGTGGGTAATCACTTATAAATCTATAAATGAAGGTTAAAAGACAAAAATAGTAAAGTCACATAACTATAATGATTTGTTAGTGGATACACAAGGTAAAAAGTAAACTATAGTGCAATTGCTGGATCATAAGGTAGTTCTATTTTTAACTTTTTGAGGAACCTCCATACTGTTTTGCAGAGTGGCTGCACCAGTTTGCATTCCCACCAACAGTGCAGGAGGGTTCCCCTTTCTCTGCATCCTCACAAGCATCTGTCATTTCCTGACTTATTAATTTTAGCCATTCTGACTGGTGTGAGGTGGTGTCTCATTGTGGCTTTGATTTGTATTTCCCTGATGCTGAGTGAGGTTGAGCAGCTTCTTTTCATGTCTCTGTTGGTCATCTGTATATCTTCTTTGGAAAAATGTCTATTCATGTCTTCTGCCCCCCCCCCTTTTTTAAAAAACCAGATTATTTGTTTCTTGACAGCCTATGCCTTTTGATTGGAGTGCTTAGTCCATTTACATTCAAAGTAATTATTGATAGCTGTGTATTTATTGCCATTTTATTACTTGTTTTGTCATTGTTTCTGGAGAATTTCTCTGATCCTTTCTTGTCTTTGTCATTTTTGGTCTCTTCTTTCCACTCGGAGTCCCCTTTAATATTTCTTGCAGGGCTGGTTTATAGAGTCACTAACTCCTTTAGTTTTTGTCTGGAAAACTCTCTCTCCTATTCTTGGCTGCAGATTTTTCCCAATCAGCATGTTGGATATATCATGCTACTCCTTTCTGGCTTGCCAAGTTTCTGGAGAGGTCTACAGCGAACCTTATGGGTCTTCCCTTGTAAATTAAGGACTTTTGTGTTGCTGCTTTAAAAATTTTTTTCTTTGTCACTAGATTTGCCAAATTACAATATGCCTTGGTGTTGGTCTGCTTTTGTTGATTTTAATGTGAGTTCTCTGTAGCCCCTGGATCTGGATATCTTTTTCCTTCCCCAGAAAAGGAAGGGAAGTTTTCAGCTATTATTTCTGAGATAAAAATTATCCCCCCTTTTCTTTCTCTTCTTCTGGGACTCATATAAATATGAATGTTATTATGTTTGATGGAGTCACTGAGTTCTCTAAGTTTATTCTTGTGTTGCCTTATTCTTCATTCTCTCTTTTGTTCAGCTTCATTATTTTCCATTATTTTTTCTTCTAGGTCACTAATTCATTCCTCTGCTTCTTTCAGCCTGCTGTTCATTGCATCAAACCTGTTTCCAGTCTCTTTTATTGCATTCTTCATCTCTGATTCATTTTTTAAAAATTCTTTTATCTCTGTGGTAAGGGTATCAGTGAAATCTTCTAGTCTTTTCTCAAGCCTAGTGAG